GGCAATGATACATCTGAAAAAGTGTTAATATCCAAAATATATAAAGAACTCCTACAAATCAACACAAGAAAGACAAGCAATCCAATTAAAAATGGGCAAAAGACCTAAATAGACACTTCTCCAAAGTGGACATACAGATGACCATGAGACATGAAAAAATGCTCAAAGTCACTGATCATCAGAGAGATGCAAACTAAAATGACAATGTGGTATCACCTCACTTCTGTCAGAATGGCTAGCATCAACAAATCAACAAATGGCAAGTGCTGGCGAGGATGTGGAGAAAAGGGAACTCTAGTACACTGCTGGTGGGAATGCAGACTGGTGCAGCCATTACGGAAAACAGTATGCAGTTTCCTCAAAATATCAAATATGGAACTGCCATTTGACCCAATGATCACACTTCTAGACATATATGCTAAAAGACCCAGAACACCAATCGGAAAGAATGTATGCACCCCTGTGTTCATAGCAGCACAATGTACAATAGCTAAGATCTGGAAATAGCCCAAGTGCCCATCAGCTGATGAGTGAATAAAAAAAGCTGTGGAACATTTACACCATGGAATACTCTGCAGCATTAAAAAAGAAAAAAAATCTCTTACCCTTTGAGACAGCATGGAGAAACCTAGAGAGTATCATGCTAAGTGAAATAAATCAGTCAGAGAAAGACAAGTATCACATAATCTCACTTGTATGTGGGATCTAATTAACAAAATGAACTGATGAACAGAGCAGATCCAGAGACATGGAATCATGGAACAGAATGCAGACTCTCTGAGGGAAGTTGGGGGAGTATGGGTGTGTGCGAAATGATCAACCAAAGACCTTGTATGCATATATGCATAACCTGTGGACACAGACAATAGGGTGGTGAAGGCCTGGGGCAAGGGGTAGAGGCAGGCTAGAAGAGGTCAATGGGAGAAATTGGGGACATATGTAATACTTTCAATAATAAAGATTTAAAAGAATAATGATAATAAACATATCCTTGGGTGGGGATTAAGAAAAACTGAAGAAAATAAAATAAACCTAAGCATTTTTATTTTTTACTACATTTTTAATTCTCACCCAAGGATATGTTTTTATTGATTATATATATAGAGAGAAACATCAATGAAAGAGAGTATCATTCATTGGTTGCCTCTTATACACACCACTACCAGGATCATACCTGCCACCCAGGCACATTCCCTGAGAAAGAATTGAACAAATAACCTTTTTGGTGTTCAGGATGATGCTCCAACCAACTGAGATACCCACCCAGGGTCTAAGCATTTTTATTAATGAAGCAATTTATGAATTTATGTATTTTTTAAATGAATAAATATGCTTATCACCTACTATTAACATGTGAAAGGTTAGATAATAAAATATGTTAGGCAATTAAAGAATCCAAATTACAAAAGGGGCCCTTGTGGTTTGGCTCAGTGGATAGAGTGTGGGCCTGGGGACTGAATGGTCCTGGATTGAATTTTGGTCAATGGCATGTACCTTCATTGCAGGCTCTTGGCCCTAGTCTGTGACTTGTGGGAAGCAACCTGTCTCTCTCTCTCCCTTTTACTCTTTGTAAAAATCAATGAAAAAAAAATATCCTCGCGTGAGGAATAAAAATAAATAATGATGGAATAAAACACTATATAATCAATTTTCAGGGAAATGTGCAAAAATATCAGTGCAAGTTTAAAAGAGTAATGTATCAGTGCTTGTTGGCCACATGAAGGCAATATTTATAAAATATACAGGATTTAACCTATAGCTTAAAGGATATTTAAGATTAAGATACGTGAAATAGGAAGAGTGCAGTTTATTTGAAATAAGATGAATTCTTTAAACACTGCACCAGAATGGAAAAGTACAAAAAAAAAGAAAGAAAAAAAATTCATTTTAAGCAGATTTCTGTTGAGAAACTTAAAAAAATATCGTCTGAAAGGTAGTTTGAGACTTAGACATTTAACAGACAGAAGGGTGAACAGTATCAAATATTTTATTCAAACAATTCTAATGTTTTCATAGACCAATTTTTAACTAGAGTACAGGATTGATTAAAGATTAAAAAAAAAATACAAGCAAGAAATCCAAATGAACAGTGGGCTAGAGACTTTTTACTCAACAGAATATTTTCTTCAAATGAAATCTGATTTCCAACATGTAAAACAGGAGAAATGACATTGTTTTAGAGCAATAGACTTCCTCAGTCAGGTTGGTATTTATGTAGATAATTAATGGCAATACAACTTTAACCAATGGTATTTCCTAGTATATGAAAAAGTTTTAGTAACATATTAAAGTGTGCTTGTTTGTATTAAATTATAGATATTTCTAAACAGATATTCCAATCAGGGTTTCTGAAACAAGGTCTTCAGGTTGCAACACATTGAGATAAAAGATTATTTAGGTAGCTTTAACAAGACAGGAAAATTGAACAGTCAAAGTTAATATCATTCCCTGTATAAGACCTCTCAGTAACTATCCATCACCCACAGGCAGAATTCCAAACTCCTTGTCAGAGCTGATGAGGCCCTCTGTGATCTGGCATGTCCTTCCTCCCTTCTCCTGCTCTTCTGGGGCCAACCTTCTTCATTTGCCAGCTCTTTCCAGCCAGAGAACTATTTGAGTTCTCCAAATATTTTATCTTTTCTCTTTCTCCAGACATGTAGTACTTAGAATGCCCTCTTTCCATTGGTCAGCAGATCACTGCCAAGCTTAGGACTAGTTCTAGCCTCCCTGCTCTCTGTTCCTACAGTATTTGATATTGTTGATTATTTGCTTAATATTGGTCTTCCCATTGGGTTCATGCTCTGTGAAAAAATACTGTCACCTGACACATGATTGTTGAATGAAAGGATGATAAATTCAGGTGTTGCTGTTTTTCAATAGACTTTATTTTGTTAGATCGGTTTTAGGTTAACAGTAAAATTGAACAAAAAACACAGATTTTTCTGCCCTGACTCCCATGCATAGCCTCTGCTACCATCACATCTACCACCAAAGTGGAACCTTTTTTGAAGTGATGAACCTACCTTGACACATCATAATCACCCAAAGTCCATGGCTCTTGGTGTTGCTTATTCTGTGGTTTTGAACAAATGTATAATGACATCTATTCATTATTATGGTATCATACAGAGTAGTTTCACTGTCCTAAAATTCCTGTGCTCTGCTGTTCATCTCTTCTTCCCCTTAACTTCTGGCTGCCACTGAATTTCTTGTTGTTTCCACAGTACTGTTTTTTTCCAGAATGTGTGCTATAGTTGGAATCATAGTATGTAGCCTGTTCAGAATTGCTTCTTTCACGTAGTAATGTACATGACTTGAGGAATAAGGCTGCTATAAAAACCTATATGCAGGTGTGTGTGTGTGTGTGTGTGTGTGTGTGTATGTTTCATGAATTCAGTTTTAAACAGGATAAGTGAAAAGACACTCAAGTAAAAATATTCAAAAATCTTCTGGACATTTTCAAGTTAGCATTTGTAAGAGAGATAAAAACTAGATATATACATTTGTAGTATTCATCCTTTTTTCAAGTTCTTTAATGAAAACTGTCCATATGCTATTTATTGTACATAGTGCTGGAAATGCAGAGTTCAGAATTACAGAGTTCTTTACTTTAAGGATCTCACAGAATCTTGGGGAAAAAAGAGACATGATACAAAATAAGTATGAGGGAGTTATGATCCACTCCATTGATGGAGCAGAGAAAGCTTCACAAAACTAACAGCACTTGAACTGAACCTTGAAGAAGCACCTGGAGGTTACAGGCAGATGATTTGAGCATAGTCACATACAAATTTATACTTCAGAAAGGTGCAGCATAAGCTGGTGTTGTGGAAATAAACTATAAAGATAGGTTGATCAGCTGGAGAATTGTTTTTATGTCCTGCTAATGAGTTTGAACTTTTTTCGCATATTAGCCCTAATCGCTGAGTGATTGAAGCATAGGTGTGATGTGAATGAAGATTTTAGAAATATAATCTGTTTGCCTGTATGGAGGACAGTACAGAACACATAAATATGACGCCCCAAGAGACTAGGAAAGCCAATGGGACAGTTCACATATAAAGAAGACTGATCTGAGATGTGGAAGTAGTAGTCAAGTGTGAGAGAAAGATTTGGAAAGTATTTAAAAAGTTGAATTCATAGGAAAATTACACCTAGTATTGCTTAGCTTATGCTTATACCTCTTTTTAAAAGTTCATTAAGATCTATTTGGTTTATGAAAATAATGGTACTACAAAGAAAGTGTAAATAGATTTACTACTGATTTTGTGTAACAAGGAAAACTTTTAGAATTAATTTTCTATATTCCCTAACCAGAGTCCTCAAAAAATGCTGTTTCAAAAAAATGTTATTTTTCTTTTTTAATGTACATTTGATAGGACTAGGTTTCTGTTTTATAGTTTTTAGATGTCAAATATAAGGAGACATGCATTTCTGCAAAAAAAAAAAAAAATGAGACTTAAAAGAATCAAAGGGCTATTGAATAGTTTTGTAGCACAATGTCCTAATGATTAACATGTGATATGTAATCAAAGGTTGGGATAGATCTAGAATAAAAGTAAATAAATTTCTCAAGCACTTCTCAGATGATCAATATTGGTGTATTCTCTTGGAACATGAGGATGTACAGAAGTGGTTAAATCTACAAGCATTAACTAATTAATTGTCTTTAATTAGCAATTTTGTTTTTCCACATGAGTAACTTTGTTGGAAAGTTATTGCCTTTTGTAACTGCAGGGTAACAATTCGGTACTAAGATCCTTTAAGAATAAGTTGAGATATGGAGGTAATCGATGTAATTATGATTAGAAATTAAGACAACAGCCAGGTGATTTACTATGGTAGCATAGATAACCTGAAAGCAGGCAGAAATAAACTGAGAGAACAGTTCAGATACTGTTGTTGCCATCATGGTTGTTGCTTATTGCCAGAATCATTGTGTGTGTGGGCCCGCGCATGCGTGTATATGCAAATGTGTTCTTTTTCTCTTTTCATTTCAGCTATGACAGTGATAGCTGGTGCCCACCATTACCAGTACAAACATACTTGCATCAAGGCATGGAAGATGAACTGGAAGAAGACGATGACCGTGTCCCGACACCTCCTGTCCGAGGAGTGGCTTCGTCTCCTGCTATTTCCTTCGGGCAGCAATCCACCGCAACCCTCACTCCATCCCCACGGGAAGAGATGCAACCCATGCTGCAAGCTCACCTGGACGAGCTGACACGGGCCTATCAGTTTGACATAGCAAAGCAAGCATGGTAAATATCATCAGCAGGTCAGGGGGACCTGGCTTTCAAAACATGGAGAGAGGAAATGTGATTTCCTATTAAATTCACAAGAGGTTTTCATGGAACTATACTGCTGAGGCTAGAAATGCTTTTGTACAACTTTTCAATCATTTAGATTAGGAAATTGACTGAGGAAACATTAAATAATTTGACCAAAGTTTCATAACTAGTTAGAATGAATCGGAGCAAGAAGTTAGATCTGTTCAATTTCAGGTGAAGGTGCTTTTGGCTACACCAGAGTCTTTTCTAATTTATAATTTAAATTTCATTAGCTTATCCTTAAACTCACTTCCAATACTCCTTTCTAGATTATTTAAGGTGCCTATAATTAATTCTGTATGTGGTTGTGAATATATAAATGTAAGCTTCTGCAAATCACATATGGTCAGTGTCAGTTATTTAAGACCTTCTTTGGGGTGAATTAAAAGAGACAGGAAAAATTACAATATTAGTAACAGTAAGTGAATTAAAAAAAAAAAAACACAGAATAATTACAACTCCAAAATTGTTTTCTTTCTAATAAATCTATAAACTTGCATAAGGTATAAATGGAAATCTACTTAGATGCCCTGTGAAAATATGACAGGAATACAAGTGGACCAATCCTCATTATTTTGTGCAGTTATTGTTCTCATTTGCCCTCTCTTCTCAGCTTTTAAAATGATATCTTAATAATATACCTTCGATTATCTTCTGTTAATTTATACCATGTGCTTGAAATTAGAGTAAATTTTTATGACAGATCATTTGCTTCTTTTTCCTAGTCCTGGCTACCGAAATAAGTTGATAAAAGGATAAATCTTATTCACAGTATTAATGAACTTTTTTTTAAATACAACTAAATACACAAAGATACCCTAAAACCAGGAATATCACTTAAAGCTTATTACAAACATAAGGTCTTTTCTTAGAAATAGAGGTTCTTGAACTTTCACAATTACCAGATTTTTTTCAAAATTTAAAACAATCTACTTTTAAACAGTGGTATAGTACATCAGACTGCTTTATAAAATAACACTTTTTCAGGTGAAGCCGGAAAATTTCCTTCAAGTGAACTTATGAAGCTGTGCAGTTTAGTTACTTAGCACAGATTCCAGCTCAGGGTTCTCAAATATGACTAAATTTGAGAATCACCTGGACAGCCTTAAACTGTGTTGATACCCAGGCCCTGCTCGGAGAGTCTAAGGGCTTGGTGTGGTATTTGGCTGAGGGTAGCCAGGTTGGGGCCACCACCACTCATGAGCTGTGTGACACTGTGCTTCAGTTCACTAGAAACCCCACAAAACTCACAGGTAGCTGTTACACTCAGTTCAGTGAATTATTGTGAAAAGATACAGATTAAAGTCAGCCAGGAAAAGAGATGCATGGGCAGAATCCAGACAGTTCCAAAGACACACTCCCAGTTGTCCTCTCCCAGCGGCCCTGGGAATGTTGCCCACCAGGGAAGCTCACCTGAGCCCTGAGGTTCAGAGTCTTTATCGGGGCTGTCACACAGACATGGTGGACTACCTGCATGGCTGACCTCGATCTCCAGCCCTTCCAGAAGGCAAGCTGATACCTTGTGACTCAAGGGTCCCACCATAAGTCTCAATGCTAGACCTTCTGGAGGAGCTGAAGGCCTCCAAAAACACACACAACAACAACCAAAGACATTTTTATCAGACAGAACATTCTAGAGCTTAGAGATTACCTTCCTGGAACACAGGGCAAAGGCCTGGCGTCTCCTTAGGCAAGGAAAAGCTTATTACTATGCATCATAGCTTTGTAGGAATTAAATGAGTTTGCACTTGGATGGTTCTGGTAAAGAAACTAGCTTTATGACAGCCGATATTATTCAAATGGGCTTGGGTTTCCACCTGAATTGTTCACTGCTATCTTCTACACTTAGAGGAGGGCCCACTTAGTGCATGCTCCACAGACATTTCCTAAATGAGTTCACCTCACCTCCAAGTGCCCATAGAGCAGACCCTGCTTTCCCAGTACGTTTCTCTTCTGTCCAGCAATCCCAGAATGTCCTTGCTGACTCCCATGCAGGGATATGAGACACAAGGACATAAGACCTTGCCCTTCTGGAATGGAAATGCCTCTCGTCTGGGCTGCACATCAACATCACAGGAAAAACATGTACAAAATAGTCACTCCCAGGCTTAAACTCCAGGGATTCTGTTCACATTGACCCTGAACTGCTCAGCATAGTGCCTGCCACGAGGAGATATTTATAACGTGTGTACCCTCTTTCTGCATTTCAGTATATCTCCGAATTCTGCCAAACTCAAAGTACAATTTCATCCCTTAATGAGCTCTGGCCCATCAAGAGGTGTCAGCAGTGATGTAGGACGAGTGTGTTGGACTGTCTGGTCCTCCCCAGGAGCCAAGTGTCCACCCTTAAGGAGAAGGAATTGTGCATATAAATGGCATCTTATATGCACTTGCTCCTGACTGGGCTCACTTCTTCCTTGATTCACAAACAGGATTTGAGGCCACACTTCCAGGAAGGTGTAATCATCCACACTCAAGGCTTATTGTAGAAATAGTTAGGGAACCACCTGACTTTTCAAAGAAGGCTTTGTTATGAATTTCAAACAACAATGTGGGACCTCACAGTCCTGGTCTGTTAAATTAAAGATGTGGGCCTCATGATATACAGGTGGCTACCAGAGCTAACATATTAGGTTTGCTTTTTAAACTGAAAGATCTAGATTCTAGAATCTTGTTAACATTGGAGTTGGCTACAAATTTAAGAATGCAGTTTCAAAAGGAATAGTAAGCAATGAAATATTTCCCTCAAAATGCAAATATTAAATAAAATGATCTTACATCTTTAAATAAAAAAACTAACAGCAAAAATGCATAGCACTTGTTTTATATCTCTTTATATAGCAGATATCTTTTAAATACTTTATATAAAAAAAGACAATGTGTCCAAGCATGCAGTATATTCACTCTTTAATGACAATAACAAATGCAGTGTAATTTCATTTAGCATTTCATGGTTTACAGGGGTAGGGAACCCTTTTCCTGACAAGAGCCATTTGGAATTTTATAATGCCATTAGCGGGCCATACAAAATTATCAACTTAAAAATTAGCCTACTATATTTGGTCAATCATTTAATTAACTCACCCCTAATGCTTTGGCAGGGCCAGACCCAATGATTTCAAGGGCTTTGTACAACCCAATGGGCTGGACATTCCCCACCCCTGATTTAGAAGAAACTCTTAAATACTCAAAAAGTAAACCAATTGGACCCCAGCATCCAGCTCTACATTTTACCAACCACGTGATTTGAAAAAATCATTTAACTGGACTTCACTTTAATAATGTTGAAAAGAGCATTCTATCTGCTTCACAAGGTTGAGATGAAAGGTATTCATTCATTCAAAGGGTTTACTTACTGAGCACACCTGAGGGCCTAAACTCAGTGCTGAGAGGAGTCTCTTCTGCTTTCAGGTGCTTAGACTTCGGTGGGTGGGGCCGATGTACCAATAAGTAGCTAGAACACAAGGTGGTCATTCCTCCTCTAAACTGGTTTAAAGTGAAAACACCTGTCAGCCTTATTCAGGGATGGTGCAGGAAGAAAGTCTGTAGGGCAGGGACTGTGCTCAGGGTTGGGGACAGGGGCGTTGGTATTAGGCCTTTATGTGACATCTCTTCTTCCTAAGGGCTAGCAGGTCACATAGGTTACACAGGTTGAGGAGAACTCCGACACTAAGCTGGGAACAAAATTATCATATTCTTTTTGGACCAAAATACAGTCAACTTTATTTTTTTAAGATATATTTTTATTGATTTCAGAGAGGAAGAGAGAGAGAGAAACATCAATGATGAGAGGGAATCATTGATTGGCTGCCTTCTGCACGCCCCCTACTGGGGACCAAGCCCGCAACCTGGGCATGTGCCCTTGCCTGGAATCGAACCTGGAACCCTTGAGTCTGAAGGCTGATGCTCTATCCACTGAGCTGAACCTAGAGCTACAGTCATCTTTAAATAGTTTTTTGTGACAAATATGCCTATTCTCCTTTGGAAGATTTTTTATACTAAATAGTGCTGAATCTGTATTCTTTTTCTCTGAGGATCATCCTATAAATACCAATTGAAGGGTATTAAAATCTAAATTGTTGTTGTTGTGTTGGCAAGTTACGTATATGTAGCCCATTGCCTCCGCTGAAATGTAAGAAAGGAGTGTGAGCTTCAAAATTAGTCAAAGGAAAACAAGAAGAGAAAATTAGTTACCATAGCATGCTGTTTAATTTTAATTATAATTTTGTGAAATGCTAACAAATTTATTTCATCCCCATTTAAATTCTAGGCACATTCAAAGCAATAATCAACCTCCACAGCCCCCGGTTCCACCATTAGGTTACATGTCCGGAGCCTTGATTTCTGATTTGGAAACAGATGTTCCAGATGATGATGCTGATGATGAGGAGGAGGCTTTAGAAATCCCCAGGCCCTTGAGAGTGCTAGAGCAGACGCCCGGATCCAGTATGGACAATCTGGATAGCTCTGTGACAGGTAACAGAACGAATTTATTAGGAATAACTGATCTATTTGTAATATTAAATGCATCAAAAATCAAATTCTTTTTATGTAAGATTTATTCCACTCCATTTATCTCAGTAACATTTTAAATAGGCCAATATTAAACACAGAACTCAAAAAGGATTTGAAAGTATTTTTGCTTTGCTGCAAAAATGATAAGAAAATTTCATGAATTTTAAAAAGCTTTAAATACATGAAAGAAAACTCAATTATACCCAGGGTTTTCATGAAAAGTTCACTCTACTGGAGAACCAAGTCTTTTATATAAAAACCTTGACTTTTGGAAATGATATATTTTATGTAACAGGAACGACATGCAAAGTGAATGCAATCTTAATATGATTTTTGATATTTTACTCTGTAAAATCATTCATTGATGAAAAAAAGCAAGTGTTCAGAATAAGTATTTCTAAGGTTGCAGGGGTATTATTTTTAGAGTGAAGAAACTGTATAGAGAGATAAACCACACATTTATGCATTTCATATTGTTGGATCCAATAACTGCTTCTCTCCTAAGAAATGAATTGCTGTTTACTCCTCTGGCTTCCTCTTGCCTTGTTCACCGAGGGGAAGGCTGCAGGTGGTACTCTAGTAGGATGCTCTCAGTGCTGAAGCCTATTTCTGAGGATTAAAATTTATCAAATTTCGTCAGAAAAAATTAAATTCTAATATATGCACAATGAATATGGAGAAAAGTAAAAACATCTTTCTATTCAAGTAGGTACCATTTTTTACACACACACACTCACACACGTCTCTTGCATGAATATAAAGATGTAACTGCTAAAAATGTAAGTTTGTCTTTGCATGTCATTGGGTCTTCTCAAGCAATCACACAGGCATGTACAGTGGGGCCTTGACTTACGAGTGTCCCGACTAACGTGTTTGTTGAGATACCAGCTGTCTCTTGGCCGATTTTTTGCATTGAGTTGATAGAGTAATTTGAGTTAACAAGCTCCTTAACGAGCTCGGTTTCAGAACGAATTAAACTCTTAAGTCAAGGCCCCACTGTATATGCACATGGTAATGACCCTCAGGTAAATGTATGTAAGAACCAAAAATTATAGCCAAAGCCGGTTTGGCTCAGTGGATAGAGCGTCGGCCTGCGGACTGAGGGGTCCCAGGTTCGATTCCGGTCGGGGGCATGTACCTGGGTTGCGGGCATATCCCCAGTGGGAGATGTGCAGGAGGCAGCTGATCGATGTTTCTCTCTCATCGATGTTTCTAACTCTCTCTCTCCCTTCCTCTCTGTAAAAAATCAATAAAATATTTTAAAAAAAAAAAAAAAAAAAAAAAAAAAAAAAAAAAAAAAAAAGAACCAAAAATTATAGAAATCAGCATGCTAGTGAATATTATTCTAACATTTTTATGTTTCCTTCAAACACATGGCTAGTTTAAGGGTGCTAAATTATGTGGGTAATATGTTTTTAGTAGAGGATACTGATCTTACCAAAAATTACTGTGAGTTCTAAATTTGTGTGTGGTGTGAGCAAATTAGTCATTACTTTCACCTGAATTCTCTGTTAGAGATTTTCATTTTCATGAAATTAATGACCATTTTTACTAAATAGAAATAACAGTGATATTTCCTTCCCTGAAATTTTAAAGTCAATCAAAATGATATTCCAATTATACCATAGAGGTGGGCTTCTAAGCCTGTACATAAAATTATTCAGCCCTAACTGGTTTGGCTAAGTGGATAGAGTGTCGGCCTGAGGACTGAAGGGTCCCAGGTTCGATTCCGGTCAAGGGCATGTACCTTGGTTGCAGGCACATCCCCAGTAGGAGGTGTGCAGGAGGCAGCTGATCGATGTTTCTCTCTCATCGATGTTTCTAACTCTCTATCCCTCTCCCTTCCTCTCTGTAAAAAATCAATAAAAATATATATTTAAAATTATTCAGGATTGTGGATATATTATATTCCAACATCCACTATGTTAAAGAATACCAGCAGTTAACAAGATATAGAGCCCATATTTATAAATAAATAAGTATATTAATTTCAAATATTTTCATAGCAACTAAGACATTTCTGAGGAATTTCTTAAATTTTGACATAAAGTTTCATAAATGGAAAAGCAAAGAAAAATGGAAAATGTCAGTAGTTCCATATTTCATGAACTCGGTGTCTTAGTCTGGTCAGGCTGCTATAACGAAATACCATAGACTGATTGGCTTAAACAGCAAACATTAATTTCTCACCATTCTGGAGGCTGGAAAGTCCAAGATCAAAGTGACAGCAGATTTAGCTCCTAGTGAGAACTCTCTTCATGATTCGCAGACCGCTCTCTTCTCTCTGTACCCTCACATGGCAGTTAGAGAGAGAGCATGCTCTCTGGTCTCTTTTTAAGGTCACTAATCCCATCAGGAGGACCTCACACTCGTGACTTCCTCTAACCCTAATTACCTCCAAAGGCCTCTCCTCCAAGTGCCATCACATTAAGGGTTAGGGCCTGACCATACACATTTTAGGGGGATACCAACATTCAGTCTGTAAAATTCAGTAATGGAAAAATGTATTTGCCAAATTATTATATCATTTAGAAATTCTCACAGCAAACACTTACTAAATGCCTAATTCTTCCAACCACTCAGCTAAGAATTGAGATTTAATAATGATATAATAATAATAACAACTTGCACATATATAACCCTTAGTAAGTGAAAGGCACTTTTCTAAGCAGTGGCCTGTGTTTTTGTGTGGGCCTTAGTGAGCTAACAATATGTCTTACATTTTTAAATGGTTATACAAAAATAAGAGCCCTAACCTGTTTGGCTCAGTGGATAGAGCGTCGGCCTGCGGACTGAAGGGTCCCAGGTTCGATTCCAGTCAAGGGCATGTACCTTGGCTGTGGGCACATCCCCAGTGGGGGTTGTGCAGGAGGCAGCCGATTGATGTTTCTCTCTCATCGATGTTCCTAACTCTCTATCCCTCTCCCTTCCTCTCTGTAAAAAAATCAATAAATTATATTTTAAAAAAAAGAAAATAAGAAACAATCAACAACAAAGACTATATGGCAGAGAAGGCAAAACCTAAAATATTTAGTGCCTGTTACTTTATATAAAAAGTTTGCTGACCCTTGTTCTAAACTTTTAATATATATTAACTCATTTAATCATCACTTTATTTTTTTATTTTCAGAATTGATAAACTACATACATATATTTATTGAATTTATTGAGGCTACAACAGTTAATAATATAGGCTTCAGGTGTACAATTCTATGATACATCATCTGCATACTGTATTGAGAGTTCACTACCAAAGTCTAGTCTCCTTCCATCACCATTTAGCCTCCTTTTACCCTCTTTGACTTGTCCTCAAACTCCCTTCCCTGTTTATTCTCTTTTTATAGTAAAGGAATTGAGTCACAGATGGGTTTAATGTCCTTTTCAATGTCACACACTTGGTAAGTTGTAGAAGAAGATTCAAAATCTGTCAGTCTTATGCTAAAGATAAGTTATCATAATCCCTGCTCTGGAAATGCCCAACTTTTTCTAATGTCTGGCTGTAGCATATTTAAGAGGAAAATTATTTTCCAGTCTATTACTTAACCTCTCTCTCTCTCTCTCTCTCTCTCTCTCTCTCTCTCTCTCCTATCTCCTCCTCCCTCTCTTCTCTCTCTGAAAAACATTAGTTCTTACCTTTATACACTAAATCAAGATCAAAAATAGTAACTTTTAGAAAAAAACTTATTTTTCTCATATTTATTTCTATATTCAAGAATAGTTACTCATTCTAACAAAATTCAACTCTATGAGCACTCTTTTGAAGAAATCACATTTTTACAATTTTAATTTATACTTAGAGTTTAAACCTGTTTGGTTGTGGAAAGTATAAAGATGTGTTGATCACAGTGCAGCGCACTCTGGGGCTGGAAAGTGAGCGTGCAGGACTGTGTTAGTCTTCAGGAATATGCTTGAAATATTTCTTCGTAAACGCCAAACCCACATTTGGGTAACAGGATGGGAAGCCTTCACTACTTCTTTCTGTAACGTTTATGGTGGGAGTCCAGTGTAAGTGTTTCCTGAATTTAATGGCTCCACCACAGGCAAAAAGAAACAGAAGGCAATGGGAGAGGAGGCAGGAGGAAAATGTCCTAAACCTGGAGCCAAGATCGGAACTGCCACGTTGATCACAGAAAGTAGCACTGAGAACGAGTGCTGGGAAGGGAAACGGGGAAAAAAAGTTTCCTTCTCTGCTGGACCCCACAGAAATACCGCAGCTGAAAGGAAATTGTGACTCTAGATTTTCTGTATTTTATGTCTTTTGAGGTTTTACTTGAACTCCCAAACCAGATAATTTTGAAATCAATAAAACCTGGCAGCCTCAACATCTTATTGGACCACACGGCTTTTAGAAAATTGGCCACTTAAATGTGTGACCTGGCTCCTTGCTTTTGTTGCAAAAAATGTAAGAAAAATATTTCAATATTAGGGACATTTCAGAAATATTGCTAACAATAATTGTTGTTTTCTTAGACTACTTCCACAGCTTTGCTGTAATATAAAAGAAATTAAATATAAACTTCAAAATGTAACAGATAAAAGGGGAACATCATCTATTCAATTTTTATCTGAATGGAACAAGTTAGCAGGTGTGAAATGTCCAAAGGAAGATATTTTATAATTACTTATTTTACTTTCTGTATGTATTACAGATATTTTTCTCTCTGAGAAATGTAGGTGGAATTGTTGCATGTTCAATTTTTTTTTTTTTGAGTGGAAGAGGGACCTCTAGAGATTATACATGTTTTCCTACATCTTGGTAGAGATCAATATTTGGATTCATTTGTCCAAAGACAATTATAACTGAAGATTTTATTTAATAGACTAGATGCCTGGTGCACAAATTTGTGCACAAGTGGGATCTGGCTGGCCCGTCCAGATGGGGGCCAATTGGTCTGTGCCAGTGGGGGGGAGGGGCCACGGGCAGTTGGCCAGCTGGCCCTGCCCCCAATCGGGGTGTTGGG